TCTGCGCGTTATAGATAATCGATTTGTGCTAATAGAGGTACAGTAACAGCTAACTGAAAAATATCCCATTATAAAAAGTCCTACGCCTTTGGGTATATAGCATGGATAGAGGATACCAGCTCGGTGAAAGCCGGAACGTCCCTTGTATTTCTATGGGAGAGCCACCGCGGCAAAAAACCGCCGGGCCTTGATGAGATTATGAATAAAACATGGTTAGATTCATAGAATTTGGAAACCATGCCGATGATAGCCGAGTTTACTCCATTCACCAGTTTAAAACATCGACCGTTCCGCGCAACGTTAAAGCCATATTATTATTCCCAGCTATATAAGCGGGAGCGCTCTTTGAGGCTTACGCTATGTGTTAAAAGTTAGTACCATGGAAGAGACGATCAATGCTATGGAATCATAAATCATATACGTGGACTGGGTCACGTTATAAGCTTCTCTAGAGGGTGTCTTGAAAGTTGGAACTCTCCTTTTCAGAAGCAGCTACGCTTGAAATAACAAAGCTAACGTGTGGTGGAACAGTAGCAAAAAACTAAAAATAATGATGGAAAAGTACAAGTAGTTGAAGTTGCCAAAATGTTTCCTAGAAAGTCTAGCAGAAATATGCGACGAAAAATGTTAATTGAAAATGTAACCGACATACTACGTGAGGGTTTTCCAATGACCACACGTAAGTGTTTCAGAAGTTATTCACCACGTTATTGGTGAACTAATACGGACTGCAACAGCCACTCACAAAAATACACACTTGCAGGAAAATCCTCAACTTTTTTTATATCGAAGCAGCCGCGCAGGCAGAAGCCTAAAAGCCGGGACACAGCGGCTGCTATAACCTTTTGGCAGCTTGGAGGGCTTGTGAAAAAAGGTACAATCCATCATCGCCTAGCGTTTGCCACACTAGTCTTGAAGACTTTGACTTGTCTATCCACTTTCCTAGTGCTTGTTCAAGGATTTTATTGTACAAGATTCGGGATTGTCTAGGCCACCCAGTATGCCCACCTCGACATTCGTACAAACGTCCTGAATGATAACGTCTAGGAAAACGATCTGCGTACTCTCGCGATGCCTCGGTAGCATTTTGAAGACCACCATAAATTAAAATCATGGCACAAGTTCAATATTGCTGTACGTTTCCGGTGCCTGGGTTGCGTACTAACGTGTGTCGTGCCTTCTCACTGTTGATCTGATCAAGATTCAGAAGCGGATTAGGTTTGGTTTAGGTTTGATTGATTTGAGAAGTCTAATATCTCGGTTATTTTAAGACTTGGTGTATACTTCTCCGTGTCAACGCTCTATTTTGAGGTTATGTCACATCTATTTGCATGAAATTGTGCTTGCTTTTGAGTTATATCATGTTTTATCAGCCTGAAAGTTCCTACAATTTAAAAGGAAAACATATCTTCACAATTGTAGGGACGACTGACGATACGGACCTAAGATCGAGATCTATTCACCGTGTAACTCTGTAAGCACCCTGTATATTTCCAGAGGACACATGTGCAGTGCCCCCAAGTCCCAAGATAAGAATAGGACTTTTCATAAAGAAAACTAAGGAAACTGTTGCACGGTTTAAAAAGCTACATCTAATGGTGATATTCAACGTGACATTGAATATGATCTTCAAGGTCATTCAAAGGTCAATATAGTTTTCTTAAATGGAGCCGCTATTTTTGATACAAAGCATGTCCTTACCCATGATCTTCATATGTATTTGAGGGTGTCTAGAAAGTAGGCAAAGTGCGAAAAAGACGTTTAATAAAGAAAAATGTTGTAAAATAGAGTTGTAAGCATTACAAAAGCTTCGTCTAACGGCAACCTTGAACGTGACCTTTATTATGGGCTTCAAGCTTATTTGAAGGTCAAGACAGTTTTCTTGAATGAGAACTCCTATTTTCGACACCGGAAATAAAATGCGCAAGAAACTTTACGTTCAAGTATGTCTATGACTTTGACTATGACCTTCAAAATCATTTAAAGTTCAAATTAATTTTTAACGGGAAACATTTGTAATTCCTAAACTGCGGACAACTGAGAGTTGAAATATATCCTTGGCAATAAACCTGATCATGACCTTCAACGCCATTTCGAGGTCAGATGGATTTTAAAGTAAGCTCCTTACTTTTTGTCGATGATATGAAAAAGCGAAATATTAACATTAATTTATTGCTGCATGAATATGTCGGATAAAAAATGTTTATTGCCAAAGTAACTATTGCGTTGCTTTGTATATCGTTCTCCGAAACCAATCTCCTCCATACTAATGCAAAATGAATGACTTATACTACACACTTCCATGCGAGCGGAAATGCGGGATTTATTCTAGTAATTACTATTTTGCTTAGTGTGGAAAAGGTAGACGACACACCAAAAAAGTAATTTTCTGTTCTAGCTAATGTGGGGTGACACCATGAATTTATTTTTTATGTACACTTTTTCTTATCCATTCTGGAAATTACATATGCAAATTTGCTGAATTTCGAAAGTGAGAGAGATCAGAATTAATTATATTCACTGTAGACTGCCGAATGACAAGTCATATACGAGCCCCTTCCCACTTCCTTTGGCCCACTTCAAGATTTGTACCAAAATATGCCTTTATAATCACTTAGACCTATAACTAATAGAACATCTGAACAAATAAACAATGTGCGAATAAATGCGCGAAGTTAACAAAGCAACAATTGAAAGATTACCATTGGGTAACATCACCTTTATTTTTATTACGGCTGAAATTCTTTGGGGCATAATGTTAACCAAGTTTTGGCAAAAATTTGGTGTAAAACAATTCCATATTTCTTGAAGCTTTTGTCTCAGTTCGGTGATTGTACGAGCAGGATGTTGTCGTAGAACCTTTTTCATCTCGTGCCACAAAGTTTCAATAGGTGACAGATCTGGACTGCTAGAAACCCATTTCAAAAGTGGTACATTATTTCATTCCATCCATTTTATAGCCTTTTTTCAGGTATGGCACGCTGCACCATCTTGCTGAAACACAAAATCTTGGCCGGATGTCAAACATTCTTCGATCACTGGTAAAAGCGATTCTTCTAAAATTGCCAAATATTTGTTTGTATCCACATTTTAATCAATAAAATGAAGTTTTCCTACTCCTTTTGATGACATACTGCCCCAGTCCATAATGGATGCTGGAAATTTCACTTTTCTCTTCAGACAGTCAACATGGAATGCTTGATTTTTTTTGCGAGTAACTCTACTGCGACTGTCACCAACACAAACTTCGAATCGGGCCTCATCACTCCACTGCATTGCACACCATTGTTGAGGTGTCCATTGTCTATGTTCTTTAGCCCATCTAAGCCGATTTTTCTTTTGCAGTGGAGTTAATAGTGGCTTTTCTTTGGTCTATAAACAAGTTGTGCAACTTTAGGGTTTTTACTTCACTTTTTTCATAAGAAAACTTACCTTGCAAGTGCTAAATCCCAGTTTGTGGGCCTCTCTATGAGTTGTGGACCTCAAAATTCTCCTTCCAACAACGTCACTCCACAGAGCACTTAATTGTAAATAATTGGCACGCCTGTTTTTCACGATTATTCTTCTTAATGCTCTTCGGTCGGATTTGTGATATTACTTTTTTTCACATATCGTGGCTTAATATTAACTGAACCAGTTACGTTATATCTTCTAACAATGTTTCTCACACTGTACCGCGATAAGTCTAACAAAGTTGCAATTTCTGAGTTTGATTTCCCAGAATTAAAAAATTTAATTATCAATAACCGAATTTTCTCACTAATAACCTTTCCTCTGCCCAAAACTATTTTAAACGTATTCTGACAGCTGTGATTAATAAAAACAATGGTCACGGCTTTTATTTTTCACAGGCACCTATGCGTTATAGACTTATTTTGCATTGAAATGAAAATAGGGTGATATGCTGTAATTGCAACATGTGTTATTTTTATGCTGCAAATTTGATTAGGGAGTGATAAAGTTGGTGTTTTCTGGTATATATTATCAAAATATTCATTGTTAATATTTTAAACCTATAACACCCTGCTACATTTTTATTATTTGTGTTTGATAAGAAAAAAACTAAGATTTCAATAGTTGGGCCAACTGAAGTGGGAAGGGGCTCGCACATGCTAACAGTAATTACACACAACGCGGGTACGGTGGTGATTTCCCATAATTCTCCTCAAAGTTTTTGAATACACTAAAAACGTAAAAAATCGTAATTTATAACTTAGCACATAACCTGTCTTCAGAAATAACGAGATATAAATAACCCGTCAGGCACAGCTAATAGATATACTTCATTGGCAGCATATTCAGTAATGATTTTCTCACATAGCAAATATTACTGCTTTATAGTACAGATGCAGACCAATAAACATAATCATCCAGATGCCATCTTGCGATTCAACCAACTTCCTTCTTAGAGATGAAAACTACGGACTATTCGGCTTCACAAAACATATGCAACCAACAATGCTTGTAGTTGATCCATTCCTACATAGATTGACACTCACAACGATCCTAGTGAGCAAACGTGGAATTACTGTATACATGTTTTTTTTGACGTTTTTTACCCGTGCGGTAAGTCTAAAGAGTATGATGCATTACTGATGATGAAAGAACTGTTCTGTTATTGTTCAAATTTTGCTGAAAGTATACATGTTTAAGTAATAAAAACTTAGTATCACTCTCACAAAGCCTTTGAACTTTGTAATAAGAAAACACGATGATGATTCAGAAACAATATTTCAAAATGCATTCACTAGGTTTTCAGAAAACTTGCGATGGGAAAATATTTCAGTTTTGTTTAGCTGCCCAACACTGTAACTCAACCGTTTGCAGGATACAAAAGTTAATATTTTTTTGAATCATTGAGCACAGCTCCAGTCTCCAGTCGCGCTCTACTGATATCCTACTTATATTTATGCAAGTATAACCTTAACTTATTCATTTATTTGACGAAAATTTCAAATACAAATACCACTACTCGTATCTTTTGTACTCTCTCTTGTGTTTCAATCATCTGCCGTTGCAGTTAGTAGAGCAACAAGCTGATAAAAACACAATCCAATATTACGCTGAGAGCGATAATCCAGCACCATTATAGTACAAGGTTCATCATCAGTCTCTTCCTTGATACCAAAATAGATAAGAGCATAAGACGACGATGCAGCCATAGCTGCATAGTTTCTAGTCAATACACCTAGTCCAAATAAATGCAAACAGTTCAAAATCACCAACGTTCTTGATAATATTTCGTGTTCCAAACCGAATAACTTTGTCAGTACTGGAAGTCCTGTGAAAAACAGCAAAATGATTGCTGCGTGTTCAATATATCCACGTTTAAAGCCAATTGTAATCACCACACTGGAGATGGCCAGCTGGTCCAAATACATGCACAGTCCTTTGTCTAGCACTTCAACCACGTGCCCAGGGTACAGCTCGTTCCATAATCCAAACACATCTGAAGCACAGATGAGCGTGAAGAAGAACTGGAGAAATATGTAAGGGCTGTGACGCAGCTTTGCCAAGCACCCTTGTGCTATGACGGACGAAACAACATAAGATGTTATCCTGACGCCACAGGAATCTTTCATATTGATTGTTCACGTATCTCCAGCTCGATTTTAATTAACTTCAAGATCTGCACTATAAGTTTTCTATTCAAACTGCTGGTTCGTTGTGAGTCCATATTACCATACATATTTTCGTAACTTGATTTTTAGAGTTATGAATATGGAGATTTGAAATCTGGTATTTTGGATAATCTTTGAGAAATGAGCAGTATTCGCATAATTCATTGAGATCACTGTCACTGTCATGTTGGCATTTTCTACACTGTCATGCTTGCATCAAGTTTATTCGTAGTACTACAAATTCAAATAGGTTAAAAGGTGTCAAGCCTATGTTTACAAGGCAGTGGGTGAAACGTGAAAAAAAAAACGGCAAAATGTCAACTTGCTGCCTAGATATACTAGGTGACATACACATCCGAACACCCAGTTTAAATGGTTTTATTTTAATAAAAGTTGGTGAATGTATTTATCTTACTGTAAATAACAAGTGAAAAAATTTTCAGCCTTATCAGTTGGACATTCCGGTTTTTATACTGCTTTTTTTTAATTCACTAACGCTCTAAAAATGAATATTTCAGCCGCAGTAAAGAATCAACGTTGGCGGATTTTGGTTCTTGACATCCTTTACGTTCGGTTACGATGCCTACAGTACGGAGACCTGTACGATCTCGTCAACTTAGTGAGTTTGATAGGGGCCGTATAGTGGGACTTCGGGAAGCTGGACTTTCTTTTCGGGCAATTGCAGTTAGAGTGCAAAGAAGTGTAGACACTGTGGTTAGGTGTTGTCAGGCATGGTTTCGAGAAGGCCGTACGCAAAGAGCAAGGGGCACTGGACGCCGCCGTAGAACAACAGCCGTGAAGATCGCCGCCTAAGATTATTGGCCTTAAGGGACCGTTTCTCCACTACCAGGTCCATTGCAAATGAATGGTTTGCAGAACACGGAAGACCTATTGGCATGCGAAGTGTTTACCGACGAATGAGAAGTTTTGGCTTGTTTTCATACCGGCCACACTGGGTCCTCCCTTTAACTCGAGAACACCGACGTAATCGCCTTGAGTGGTGCAGACAACGGTCACGCTGGGATCAGGCATGGAACAGTATTGTCTTTAGTGACGAGTTTCGATTTTGTTTAGGCATGCACGATGGTCGTGCCAGGGTTAGAAGGCGACGTGGTGAAAGGAGGAATCCAGAGTTTTTTGTTGAAAGACATGTTCATCACACTGTTGGAGTTATGGTTTGGGGTGCTATAGCTTATGGTTCCAGGTCACCTTTAATCTTCATCAGAGCAGCGTTATATCCACGAAGTTCTAGAACCCCATCTTTTACCCTATCTTGACACCCTGGCAGATCCAACTTTCCAACAAGATAATGCCCGACCACATGTTGCAAGAGTCACAATAGACTTCTTTCAACATAATGATGTCACATTGTTACCATGGCCACCAAGATCTCCCGACTTATCCCCAATTGAGCACGTGTGGGATATGATGGGTAGGAGATTGCTCAATTTGCAACGTCCTCCTCAGACTCTAGAAGCACTTCGAGAGGAGTTGGTGGTTGCCTGGAATGAGATACCACAGGAGGACATTGACCACCTGATCAGAAGCATGCCTAGGCGCGTTGGAGAATGCGTAGCACATCAGGGTGCATCCACACATTATTAAAGGTCAAAGAGCTTTAAAGCAGTGCAATCATTTTGAAATTTTTATCATTTACTTATTATGCTTCATTAAGTACTTATACAAAATTTTATTAAAATAAAACCATTTAAACTGGGTGTTCGGACTTATATGTCACTTAGTATACTTTTACGCGAGACGGGATATTAAACTTCCATAATACTCACATGTGGGCCCAAGAAAGTCCTCATACCATTCGTAAAGGTCAGTCATTTTCAACAACGTTTTAAAATAAATATTTGTGCGGGTATTCTTGACGATCCGGTAATTGGCCCTTTCGAGTTACCCCCAAAGTTGTCAGGAGAAGGATACCTTAGCTTTCTAGCCAATAACCTACCAGAAGTTTTGGAACAGACCTTAGACAACATGCCATTACAACGGAGACAGAATTTGTGGTTTCTTCATGACGGGGCACCACCACACATTTTTAGAGGCGTCATTCAGTATTTGAATGAACATTATCCAAATCGCTGGATCGGTCGAAATGCTCCTCGAAAATGGCCAGCAAGATCTCCTGACCTCAATCCGATGGATTTCTGGTATTGGGAGGAACTTAAAGGTTTATGGGGCTGGTCCAATAAAAACTGAAGTACAACTTCGCGAAAAAAATTTTAATGCGGCTGAAATAATAAATGGACAACTTCGAGGACCTAGAGTAAGAAGAAACTGGGTTCGTCGTAATGAAGCTTGTGTCGAAAGTGGAGGACGACATTTTGAACACCTTCTTTACCTTTTTTACGGGAAATTAGCACCGGACCCACGTTGTGTATAATTTAGCCACATCACAGAAAAGTTGGGAATAAAAATGAGAATAGTGGGACTTGTAGGTACGGCAAATTACTTGTAACTTATATTATCCGTAATACAGGCCCCAGTTTGTAGAGATGGACTTATGTAGACATAAAGTTTCTGGTTGTTTGAGAAACAACAATGCACGTATGTCAGAAGCTGTAAACTTTGATATCTAGTAACAGCAAGAAATAGAACAGAAGCTTGTTGCCGCAGTTCTAAAATAAAAAGGAAAAAAATGCATACGACCTGTTACTGAATTACTATACTCTGCGTTTTCAGCTACTTAGTCAGAATGGCTCCATAACTGCTCCACGGTATCTCGTTTTATCATACCTAATCCCCAAAAAGGGTCGGCTTGGATGTAAATCTGCTGATTTTGATCGTTTCAGCCTTATCGTTCCACATAATACGCATTAAAAAACCCTCTTCAAGCGCGAGTTGAGGCAATTTACGTAAATTCAATCATCTGTAACCAATCCGTCCAGCTCTATGTGCCTCAAGGACGGATTTAGCGATGGGGCGAGGGGGACACGCGTCCCCCACCCCTAGACGGCCAAGTCTGCCATTTTTTTCACAAGAAAAACTAAAATTTGGTCAAATCGTTTTTATTTTTCTCTTACTTTGTTTAAAGAGATATCAAAAAACTAATGGAATTTTGTTGTAACCAATAGCTATTAATCTGTGGCAAAGGTAAGCTGTACAAACAGTTTTCTAGATCATGTTACAGTTGAAGGTACCGCTAATGAGTTGTGGTGGATAAATGAACCTAATATACTAAGTGACATATAAATACGGACACCCAGTTTAAATGGTTTTATTTTAATAAAAGTTGGCGAATGTATTTATCTTACTGTAAGTAACAAGTGAAAAAATGTTCAGCCCTATCAGTTGGACATTCCGGTTTTTATACTGCTTTTTTTTAATTCATTAACGCTCTAAAAATGAATATTTCAGCCGCAGTAAAGAATCAACGTTGGCGGATTTTGGTTCTTGACATCCTTTACGATCGGTTACGATGCCTAGAGTACGGAGACCTGTACGATTTCGTCAACTTAGTGAGTTTGATAGGGGCCGTATAGTGGGACTTCGGGAAGCTGGACTTTCTTTTCGGGCAATTGCAGTTAGAGTGCAAAGAAGTGTAGACACTGTGGTTAGGTGTTGTCAGGCATGGCTTCGAGAAGGCCGTACGCAAAGAGCAAGGAGCACTGGACGCCGCCGTAGAACAACAGACCGTGAAGATCGCCCCCTAAGATTATTGGCCTTAAGGGACCGTTTCTCCACTACCAGGTCCATTGCAAATGAATGGTTTGCAGAACACGGAAGACCTATTGGCATGCGAAGTGTTTACCGACGAATGAGAAGCTTTGGCTTGTTTTCATACCGGCCACACTGGGTCCTCCCTTTAACTCGAGAACACCGACGTAATCGCCTTGAGTGGTGCAGACAACGGTCACTCTGGGATCAGGAATAGAACAGTATTGTCTTTAGTGACTAGTCTCGATTTTGTTTAGGCATGCACGATGGTCGTGCCAGGGTTAGAAGGCGACGTGGTGAAAGGAGGAATCCACAGTTTTTTGTTGAAAGACATGTTCATCACACTGTTGGAGTTATGGTTTGGGGTGCTATAGCTTATGGTTCCAGGTCATCTTTAATCTTCATCAGAGGTAACATGAACGCGCAGCGTTATATCCACGAAGTTCTAGAACCCCATCTTTTACCATATCTTGACACCCTGGCAGATCCAACTTTCCAACAAGATAATACCCGACCACATGTTGCAAGAGTCACAATAGACTTCTTTCAACATAATGATGTCACATTGTTACCATGGCCACCAAGATCTCCCGACTTATCCCCAATTGAGCACGTGTGGGATATGATGGGTAGGAGATTGCTCAATTTGCAACGTCCTCCTCAGACACTAGAAGCACTTCGACAGGAGTTGGTGGTTGTCTGGAATGAGATAACACAGGAGGACATTGACCACCTGATCAGAAGCATGCCTAGGCGCGTAGAATGCGTAGCACATCAGGGTGCATCCACACATTATTAAAGGTCAAAGGGCTTTAAAGCAGTGCAATCATTTTGAAATTTTTATCATTTACTTATTATGCTTCATTAAGTACTTATACAAAATTTTATTAAAATAAAACCATTTAAACTGGATGTTCGGATTTATATGTCACTTAGTATACTAGATTTTAGCTTTCTGTTTTTTATCTAGTACTTTTTCCCTTCTATAATAAATAATTATTTCAGTAGGACTTAAAATGATTAGGCACCCAAAAAACGAACGAAATGGTAATATCCCATCAAGATCTGAGTTGTACTTTCCGAATAATAGAAGGATTTTTCGTGATGTACGCGTTACGTAATATCCAAGAACATATCTCATTATAATACTTCCTCGCTTAGAACCGGTGACTTCATATCGGGATAAATAAATAACCTCTCCAATCCTCAAGCCCAAAGGCCCCACGTGCTTCGGTGATTACGATTCCGTTACGCAAATCCAAAAACAGCGACAGTACAAAGCCTGCTGTCCTCAAATTTAATATCCCGCGATGATTCACAGCTGAGACAAAGATTTATGTGTACTTTAATAGGAAATGGAAGTGGCAGTAAAAATACTACCAACAGCACGACAGAGATCCCACGTGTATACAGGGTGATTCGAAAGCAGAGAAATGTAAAAATAATATGGACAATTTCTATACCTCGTTTATATAGAGAAAACCAAATTTGTTAGACGGCTTGAGTTCAATGTGAACGACAAATCGTCAGTCTACATCCAGAATCGGAAATGGAAGCTTGCCACTCGTGCTAGCGAAACGTTAGGAAGAAATTCCAACCGACGATGGCCTTTAGACCCGAATCAAGACATGTCCAACTGATAAGGCTGAAAATTTTTTCACTTGTTATTTACAGTAAGATAAATACATTCACCAACTTTTATTAAAATAAAACCATTTAAACTGGGTGTTCGGATTTATATGTCACTTAGTATATTTTAGAATAATCTTTGATTTCCACCGATGGAGATAAAATCAACACCTCCTGAGTTATTGTTACATTTTACGACAGAGAGCGGCCGGAAGGTGCAACAAATGCCACTACGCAATACAAATTATCACTGCGTGCGTGTACGCAGGTGAAAACCATTTCGAATCAGGATGACACTCCCCAATGAGCGCTACATGGGTACCTATGGAGGTGGAAACCGTGCCTTGGAATGTACGAGATGCGGTATTGCCAAGCGAACCAATGACGCAATGTTGCAGAATTTGTGGCGATCCTGACCTTTCATTTCGATCTAAACTGAAGCGTTCCGGAATCGATCCTAAACAGATTCGACCCTATGCACAATTCCAAAATGTGTGCGCTAAACGAAAACCATTATTTGGGCGTAGCATGAACTAACGCATATTTTCAACATGCATCTTATTTCATGCAGCATATTGTCAACGCTGGTGATTGCCACGTCAACGTTGCCAGGCAACGCGGTGATGAGCTTCGCTGTCCAGCCAGCTTCTATCTCTTTCTAACATATGTGTCTATACACACTTACCTCTCATACACATTGAACTCAAGCCGTTAGACAAATTTAGTTTTCAGCGTATACTTTATACATTTCAATTCCACCGTGGTTTAGAGATAGAATAGATATGACTTTTTTACTAGAAAACTCTCTGGAATAAGTAATAAGAGACATCTTTATTTTGTTTTTGTTTTTCAAATGATATTTATAGTGCTGCCGTCTTACCACATTGTTCAACGTTTTCTACCTACGCAAAAATTTTCGTACACTGCCAGAACAACGCAACAGATTATTTTGAAATTTGTTGTGCTAAATGTTTTGCCGATAAGTGAGGTGATACTCTGAGGGTAAGCCAAAAAGTCCATCAATAATATAGTTACAATTACTGCCATACGTCCAGCACATATACAACAAAACGTAAACACTAGACTAGTAAAAAGTGAATTTGCGTTTAACCACAGACATCCGAGCGCTATAACTAGACTCCCAAAAAATGAACAATGAAGAATTTTTGGAAAGGTTGATGAAAATTACGGAAGAGAGCAGTAGAAGGGTAATCGAAGAAGCAAATTCAAAACAGTCTACTGAAATCAAAGAATACATAAAAAGCGAGATTGACTCACTTTCGGTACAACTAAACGATAAACTTAATCAGAAAATTTCTGAAATTGAAGAGAAGTATAATGAACTGAAAATCCAGTATGAAAAACTGCAAAAAGAGCTTAAAAAGAACAACTTGATAGTGTTTGGTTTGAATGCTCCAAGTGATTGTAACTTGATTAGCTTTGTTATTGGCAAAATCAACAGCCTACTCGAGCTATCGTTGGTTCCCAGCGATATCAACGATGTTTATACCATAGGGAAGCAAACCAGTAACAAACCCATAATCCTGAAACTTGTGTCATACCTAAAGAAAAAAGAAATCCTTAGGAACTGCAAAAAATTAAAAGGTACAAACATCGCTATTGGTGTTGAACTCACTCCTGAAGAGCAAAAGGAACAAAAAATTTTGCGTCAGCAACTCAAGAAAGCAAGGAAACAAAATCAAAATGCATTTATAAAAAACAGAAAGCTAGTCGTGAATGGTACAGAATTTACAGCCCACGAACTGATTGCTGATGAAGAAAGTTCAGACGAGGAAGAAGAAATTGAAACAGGTCTTCAAGAAGGGTTCACTGTAGGTCAGAAAGCTGGTGCAGATATTAATACACCACATGAAGTTGCTGAAGATCAAGCTAAAGGTAAGGAGGAACAAGATGTCTTTATAACAGAAATAGTTAAGAGTACAAGCAAAAGGAAGATAACTCAAAGTGCAGAGCCAGCCGCTAAGCAGTTAAGACCTAGGATCAACAGTAATCCTACATCGAGCAAAAATAAAGACTCCAAACAAAACTGAGAGTGTATGGATGAAATCGAATCGAGTGTTTTTGGTGGTGCTGTGTGGATTTTTTTTTTAATCTCCTATAATATTTATCATTTCCTTGTACGCCATATTACTTTTTAACTCTTTTTAGTACATTATATTGTGTTATTTTGAAATTGTTCAACGTAATGTCTCTCATCTTTTGTCATCTAAACATCAGGTCCCTCACAGCCAAATACGCTTATTTTAAAGATGCATTTTTCAACAAGTATGATATCATAACACTATCGGAAACCTGGTTAAATAACAACATTCCTGATGATATCATCAGTCTCGAAGGGTATACACTGTATAGAGGTGATCGTCACCACAGGAGAGGTGGAGGTATAGCTTTATATGTCAAAAATCACCTTAAAAGCAAAGTTATAAATAATATTGAGTATCATGATACTGAGCAACTATGGATCACCGTAAGCTTTAACCAGAAAAATTTTGCTGTAGGATCTTTATACCGACCCCCAGATTACCCCGTGAACCAATTTATAGATAATTTGGAAGTAACGTTGTCCACACTTGCTCCTAATCATGATTATATCTTATGTGCAGGAGACCTAAACATCGACCTTTTGGATGACAATTTTTGTAGTAGACAGCTACTAAACCTGGTAGACGTTTTGAATTTGAAGCAGATAGTTGAACAACCCACTAGATGTACACCTAAGTCCTCAAAGTTGCTAGATGTTATTATCTGCACAGATGAACTAAACATCTCGGCTATCGATGCATTAGACTGCTCTATGATATCTGATCATGCCCTAGTTTCATGTGAGGTTACACTTTCAAAGAATACTTTTGTACCTTTTCTTTACACATATAGAGACTTTAAACATTTTAATTATGAGCTTTTTACAAATCACCTGAATAATGTTGACATGAGTCCAATATATCTGCATAAGGATATAGATATGAAAGTGAATTATCTGAATGAACTACTGTTAAATATTTTCGATTTCCATGCTCCTATCAGAACAGTCCGCATATCTAGAAAAAGGTCACCTTGGCTTACCTATAATTTGAAACAAATGATGAAACTAAGAGATAAGGCACTAAGAAAGTATCATCGTACAAAGAATCACAATGATTGGTTAGGCTATAATACACTAAAGAACAAAATTAACCACGCGATTAACAAAGAAAAGCAAGTATATTTTGAGCAACAAGTTGCATTAAATAAAAACCGCATGTGGAAAGAACTTGGAAAATTGAATATAGTTAATAAAAAACAGAATTCACTACCTCAACACCTAGGAACTGCAAACCAAATCAACAACTTCTTCATGCAATCCATCTCGGGTGATAATAATGAACCTGATCAGTACACTCTTCGATTCTTCTCCGATACGCAACTCCCTCATGAAGCATTTGAGTTTTCGTACACTAATGACAATGAAGTATATCAAAAATTGCTTTCAGTGAAATCAACAGCCGTTGGTGCCGACGGTATAAGTATCAGCATGCTGCTGTACAGCTGCCCTACAATTTTACCATATCTCACGCATATTTTTAATTACTGTCTAAAATTCAATGTAATACCCAAAATTTGGAAGCTTGCACAAGTAATTCCCATACCAAAAAAGAGCAACCCTGAAGATGTGGGCGACCTTCGACCCATCAGCATCCTATGTACTCCATCAAAGGTCTTTGAAATGATTTTGGATGCTAGAATGAGGGACTTTGTTGCTAAAAATGACATTCTTCCAGAAAACCAATCAGGGTTCAGATCAGGTCACAGCTGCACAACAGCCTTGCTCAAAGTAACAGATGATATCCGCAAATACATTGATGATGGCAACCTATGCATCTTAATCTTATTAGATTTTTCGAAGGCTTTTGATAAGCTAAACCATGATCTACTGATTGCTGTTCTTCACTACTTGGGTTTTTCTAAAAGTGCGGTTCATTTATTAAGAAATTATCTCAAAGATCGGGCACAAGTTGTCAAATGCTTTGGTGAAACATCCGAATTGTCTAAAGTTTGTCGAGGTGTACCTCAAGGATCTGTTGTAGGTCCACTCTTGTACACTCTGTATACCTCTCAGCTGCACAAAAGTTTTAAACACGTCTCATATCACTATTACGCCGATGACACTCAATTATATATTGCTTTTAATGAATCAGATATAAACCGAACTTTAAGTAACATAAATGAGGACCTTCAGGTTCTTTATCAGCTAACAAAAAAATATTGTCTCTCCGTCAACGCCACTAAATCTAAGGCTCTACTATTTGGTAAAAACAAGAATCGTGAACTATACTCCAATAATTTAGACATTTATTTCGGACAAGACAAAATAACTTTTACAAACTCCGCTAAAAATTTAGGGGTTATTATGGATACAGATCTACGCTTTTCCCAGCATGTCTCTCTTATAACCAAAAGGGCATTTTCATCATTGAAACTGCTATACAATAGCAGAAGCATAATAACCAAGACAACAAAAATAATATTGTGCGAGTCTTTAGTTCTTTCTCACCTCAGCTATGCAGACTGCGCGTACGGCCCGTCATTGCTACATCGAGATAAGGCGCGCCTTCAGCGTATTCAAAATTCTTGTGTCAGGTTTGTTAGTGGTATTAGAAGGCGGCAGCCGATATCTCTTCATTTAAAGAACTTAGGTTGGCTCAATATAGAGAAAAGAAGGTTCCTTCATCGATCCGTACTATACCACAAGATACTCAATACTGAATCACCATCCTATCTTTACAAGAAGATCAAGACCCGTACAGAAGTGCATAGTCGTAACACGAGGTTTAAACATCATCTCTCACTACCTAAATTTAAAACTTCAAATTATAAGTGCTCTTTTTCATATGACATTGTTAAGGTTTACAACTCGCTGCCTGATAGAATTAAAGCCCTATCAATTTTGAGATTTAAGCGAGAAGTGAAGACTATGTTGAGACTTGAGATGACTTAAATTTAACACTGCACGCTGATTTGCCTATTATTCTTCTGTATGTCTTTTTCGTACTATTCGTCATTTATTTGTCTGGGCGGTCCGTAGGACCTTTGCCCATTACTCGCTGTCTGATGTACGTTATTCGAATCTGTCAGTCCTGGTTGCCCAGAAACCAGACAAAGTCAAGGAGTCTTTTTCGTTTGATCTTTGACATTTTCCCTTCATAAGATATTAGCTACAACTTCTAGCAATCTCATTCAAGCATCAACTCGTTTTATATTATAGGTTTTACCAAGGTGCCTGCAACAGTTATATGTCATCTATGGATGTATAATATAATATATAGTTTTAAAACATAATATGTCTATATGTATCTGTGTTAACGTTCAAATTTTCTCTTGCTGTTATTATTATTACTGATATACTACTTTATTTATTTTTTTTTTTTTGGTTAGGTGGAAGAGCGCGGATTGACAACTAATGGTTGTCAATCAAGCGAACCTTGCCGTTTGCTCACTGCATTAAATTTATGTACTTTTTCTTTTTCTGTACTTACATGAGCAATAAAAGCAATTTATTATTATTATTATTATTAAATAAAACTGATACAAGTTACGACTTAATCAGTGTTTTATTGTGAAACTTTGTACAACAAATTGTACTATTCAATCGCATAGCTTTTATTTTGGTTTTCATGTTTAATTAATATAAATTGTCGTACTCAGAAAAACGTGCTTTGAAAGTTGCTGTTTCCACATCTGTTAACAACTCCTGGCGAGCGTTTTACATTACAAGCGCGACAATGAGGTGAACTGTTTGAATCATTGTTAGATAAAATATAAACATTGCATTTCATGAGTTTACAATATGTTATTCACACATGTCCATAAATAATATTTTTGTTTCTTCAACAGTGTATGTTATATATGTGAAACATCTTTCCCCCAAAAAGGCATAATCGGACAAAGTTATTAGAGACAACTAATGTGTAACTAAATATCGTTCTCAAAATTGCGGTAAAAGCTGTTCACGTTCTGTACATGAGCTATTCATGCTACGTGCATAAACTTTTGGTACGATATAATTTTTCGATTCCATAAATATCAATTCAACATCATGAATCTTAATAAGCGTATATTCTAGAAAATCTGTTCATATAAACTTTCTGAACATAATATTTACATGGTGTTAATTAAGTATGTACCTTAAATTTAGCAGACGATTTTAAGGCAAAAAGTTCTTATAAACATAAGCTCGCAAATTCTTCGTTCTCAAGATACAGGGTGTAAAAGTTTAAAAAAAATGGTTTTTTGTAAATTTCTTAAATACCATTTACCTCATTTTTTGTAATTTTTCAGTGGTATTTATAACATTAAGGAGCTAATTTAGCCTCAACTAAAACAAATAATCTATCTTGAGTTGCTTTCCTTCGATGCGCCATTTTGGAGAAAAAAAATAAAAACTGTTCTATTTTCCGAGAAAATTAATGTAATAATTGAAGAATGCAATTTAGCAATAAATATCTAGTTGCTCTGGAATACGTCACTGGCTTTTGACATCTGACAAGTCTGTGTTATTCAAATATGTTCGCTGTGTCATCTTTTTCATTATTTAGTTTTTACAATCTTGTTAATAACGGTGAATTATTCACATGCAGAAATGGCGGAAATGCATTACGTATATGGCCTTGCCGACGGTAATGGTGAGCAAGCCAGGCGGATTTATCACCAGAGATATCCCGATCGTGCTTTGCCAGATAGTCAAACCTTTTTTAATGTTCATCGTCGTCTTGTTGAAACTGGTTCTGTCTGAAAAAGAACATCAGAAGGTAGACCTCTAAGTGTGAAAACACCTGAAATTGAGGAAGCAGTGCTGCACGAAATCGAAGAACATCCTGAAACGAGTACGAGGAAGATCGCTGGACACTTAAATATTTGCCATCAAATTGTTCGGAGAATTTTAGTGGATTTTTTGTTATATCCTTACCATATTTTAAGAGTACAGGCATTACTTCCCATTGATTATCCAAGGCGTGTGACCTTTTGTGGTATCTTCAAAAAATTACAAAAAATC